ATTTGGATATGCCAGCTGTTGAGCTCAGTTTAAATAAACAGTAAAATTACAATATTAAAACAGGAGTGTTATGTATAGATTTTCGCTAAGTAGGTGCGTAACTTATGATTGTAACTAAAGAGTGCGCGTACATTTTATTTAATTTTAAATGATGGCAGAAATAAATGGACGAAAATTTGCTTAAAACTACATTAAATAACCTGATTACATGTGTGATTATGATGAAACTTAAAACTTATGTGTTTGGAAACTACAAATATTTATATTCTACCTAGTAAAGACGATCTCGAAATTCAACACTAGAAACAGCTCAAATTCCACCTTGAAATCATTACGCATAAGGTATACTTTGCATTTGATCATCTGCCCGTCCTAAAATAGTTATGGAACCACTTAAAATGCACATTGAAGCCTGAAACAGGAACATCAAACATTTTTGAATCTGTATATCTCCGATACGCTATTGATATAGTATGAGTTGGTTTCTAATGTATAACACATTTACTCTACTACTATAAGAAACATATAGAGCTGAGAATTTTAATGTGGACTTCAATTAAATATATTGTACTAGCTGACCCAGCGAACTTCGTACCGCCCTAAAAAATAGGGGTTGTCCAGCGGACAAAATTGTGAATCTAAACCATTCTCAGATCCCCTTGAACACACACAAAAAAATTCATCAAAATCGGTCCAGTCGTTTAAGAGAAGTTCAGTGACATACACACTCACAGAAGAATTATATATATAAAGATTTACCGTGAATCCTTAACAATAATTTTTTTATCAAAAATTGCCAATCTCTAAATGTATTTTTATTAAAACGATTTTTATGACAAATGCTGCTTAGCTAGTGTGACATCAAATCTTAGTTCTGTCTCATTATGTAATGCTAACACATCACATGAAAATTCGAATTTCTTATTAACAAAACACGTGTTCATATCACTGTATATAATACCTTTATACCGTATTTTTAGCAAATAAAGAGTATGATTATTTTGTTTTGACTGCAGTAGCTCCTTATCATTCCCTTCCTTCATTTCATTTCCTTTAAAGTATGATGCCGGCACTTCACTTGGCTATTCATGTTTGCTATTTTTAAACTTGTATAAATATAATCATAGTACAAAAGTTATCAGTATTTTTTATTAAATTAAAAATACTGACTACGTTTATAGTATGATTTGAATTCATCAATATTGTTAAACCCATGTTTTAACAACTTCAATACTGTGATTATATTTACACAAATTTACAAATAGCATACAAACACACAGTATACATTATACTGTGATTCGAATTCATGAATATTGATTATTAAACACATGTTTTAACAGCTCAATATAGTTCAGTTGTGCCAGTGAACTCTGCCCCGTTGAATGGACGGCTTCCTCCGAGACGTACGAGTACGTTATAGTTTATTGAGTATCACTTCCTTACTCCCTCTTACCTTCTTTAAAGAAGATTATATTTACTCTGTGCTCCATTAAGTGCTTTGTTGAAACACGGAGTTTAGGAAATAGTGTTGTCTCTTTCTTGCAATCTTCTGGTGTTGTTATATTTATTCTCTTTATTTTATAGGACTTCTGTAAATTTATAACATTTAATTTTAAACTGTATTTAAAACTTAATCTCTACCTTAAGGAAGTCAATTAAAAAATACACTGTGTTCATGTCGATTAAAATTTGGAGAATGTCTTTAGCTATTATACACACCATAGTACATCAAGGTACAGTCAGGGCCACAATTATTGTAAGACTAGCTTCCGACCGCGACTTCGTCTGCTTTATAATTACTTTTCTTAGAATCCCACATGATCCTATTTTTAGAGATAACAAGTATCCTGTGTCAATCTAGGTAACAAACTAGTTTATAACATAAGAAGGATTATGTCGTAATATGCAATGAAAAGACCGCAACATTTAACCAAAGCGGTTAAATAAACGGTTTCTACATCTAGCTTACTTGTTTTTTAATAAGATTAACAATGGGATCAGTAAGCCACTTTGTAGTTACCAGATGTTTTGTTAACAACGATATTATCGGTGGCTTTCAACCCTACTAATATTATAAATGTGAAAGTATGAATGTTCGTTACTCAAACTACTGACCGGATTTGGATGAAATTTATCATTTAATTACCTAGATTGACGCAGGATGTTTGTGTGAGGAATACGAGCATATGTACTCCAGTCATGGATGTTTAATATGTATTTCTTTACAAATATAGGTACTTATACTATACTACTTATACTTTTTCTATTTGTCAATGTTATTGGTCAATAAATTATTTCTTTCTTTCTTTCTATACATGTATCAGTATATGTAATCCTCCATTACCCTAGTATCCCATTAAACAACAAGCCTATAGTACTTACTTTGGGGCTAGGCTAATTGGAGTGCGTTGGAAATATGTATTTATTTATATTTATTCTCAAAAATCAAAATTTAACGTGGACGAATTCACGGGCGCCTGCTAGTTATATTATACATGTGCACTTAACAGAATTTTATTCCATTTTTATTATTCATCAAGTGTCATTATTGGATATTACACAGACTAAAAGAAGTTGTTATTTCTTTATTATCATGTAAATACGAGTTTTATCTGTGCTCGGGTAACGTAAGACTTTTATTGGGCTAATGTAATTGTTATTTAAAAAAAACATCGGTTTTGTACCACATATTGGAAATTTTATTACAAATATTGTTTGTGTAATCTTTGAAAATGTTCGCTTCGAGACTGTGTGCTTACTGTACTGGAAGTGATCTTGTAAATAAATAAAAAATAAACCAATTATACCAAAAATATTAAGTTAGCGTAATTCCTAAGTTGTAGACCTTTTTTTTAACTTTGAATACCGATTTCGCCCGCGTTGGCTTTCCCGTATAAACTTTGAATCCCAGTTTTACCCCTTCGGGAGGTGAGTTTTGGAAAATTGTTTCTTAGCGAACGCCTACATCATAATAGCTATGTGTGCCAAATTTCGGCGCAATCCGTTCAGTGGTTTGATCTATGCGTTGATAAATCAGCCAATCAGTAACTGATGGCTTTTATTTACATAACATAAGTGTGAAATGCAGCATAGAATTACATACAAAGAATACGGGATCGAGTTAGTTATTTGCACATACTTTATGCCCCTGTTCACTGCTCGTTCCCCGTAGGTGATAGCGTGATAATATGTAGCTTATATGTTGACCCGACTTCTTAATAATATTCGTGCCAAATTAGAAGTAAATCCATGCAGTACTTTTTTAGTTTATCCCGGACATACATACAGACAAACAGACAAAAATTCTAAAAACTATATTTTTGGCTTCGGTATCGATTGTAGATGTACATGTGTAGTGTAGAGTTTTGACTTTCCTATCATTTTATTATATGTATAGATTCATATGCTAGCCAATAACGATTGCCTTTTATATATAGATAAAAAAAGATTTAACCCCATTCGTGTGGTATGAAAAAGGCTTTTATGCTAATAACTTGGTGTCCCCATTACGATTCGATAGCATTTAATAATGACTCGACATTTCTTTCCTTATTTATACGCAGTCAGTGACAAAGCGTTTGGGGTTGTTTGGGCCAATTCACATTGAAACACGGCGCAAAACACATTTTCAAATCTTTTAAAGTAGGTGCTTCTGGCGACACGTATATACCTAAGTCGAAATTGTTGCATATTATGTATGACTAGGTGTGCTCCGCGGTGTTACTCTCGGTTTATTAGTGCGGCGCCTGTACCGCGAACGCTCGACAACAGGACTGTTGCTGCACCGCGCGTTTTGTATGAAAAAAAAGGATCGTCCGTACGTTGTACGACAGACGCACCGCTTCGGCACCGCAGCAGGCCGTCAAGAAACGCATAAATTGAAAGAGCCCTTAGGGATGTTTTCCCGCAGTAAAACGTAGCCTGTGTGCTAATCAAAGGTGTCAGCTAACTCCATACCAAATTTTATAAAAATCGCTCCAGCCGTCTAGACGTGAGGAAGTAACAAACATACATACACACTCACAAACTTTCTCCTTTATAATATTAGTGTGATATCGATGACTTAGGCCGCGTTGTTAAATGCATAATTAAATTTGACTACTAGTCAATGTCATGACAATAACAGAGTAGAATGTGTAAAATTTTGACAAATGCTTATTTCTTAGTCACATTTAACTATGTATCAAATAACACCGCCTCAATCAATCAGTCAGTCAATCGGAGACTAGCAAAATAGTATGTATAAGGTAGTGCGGTGATCTATCCTGAAGGGATAGGCCCTGGGAGCGTAGCTTTATAAATTAAAACTAATTAGATTTTATATGTTATTTTATTAGAAATCAAGGCGAACATAATAATTGTAGCTTAATATGTAACCGTATGTTGTTGTGCCTGATTTCTATCTGCTGGAATCTTCTATCAAAAGACAGAAGATTCTCAATTTCAAATCTTTTAAAATCATGACATTAACGTTTTAATATAAGTAACTGCCAGCCGTAGGCATTACATTAACATAGAGTTTACCCAAGCAAGGAAGCTGTAACGCAACGGGCGTTACAGTAGCTCGTTTTACATATATGTACTTTCATTCATTAAATATGTAATGTCCTCCTAAAGTTGTAATGAAATTTTTTTTTACTGTAATTCCGTTTTAACTGATATTTGAAATCCTAGTATTGCTTTTGTCTTGTAATAGTTATAGATTGATTTACGCCGTTCATAACTGATGTCAGAGCAACAAGAGAAATTACTTAATAACATCACGGTGAATTTGTGCTCAAGAAAATGTAGCCTCGCCCGATAGGGGCATATCGCTTGGTTTCTTCAACTGAGAATGCAGACTCATTAAACTGTTGTTAACTGCTAATTGACTGTCCAGAATCAGCTTCAAACAAAACTCACTTTGTAGTCGTTGTCTTAAAGTCGTTTATTCCACTTCAATGAATTCTCAGTGAGTAACTCGGTAGCAAAATTTAATGAAACCGTTTATTTGGTTGCAGGTAGCACAACAGACCTCACACCGACGCTGATTGGCATATACGATTCGCTCCTAGAGCCAGCAAAGAGTCTTCGGCCGAAACTGTTGCTGGAAACGGCAAAAGATGCCAGAAATGACCCGCCGGTGACTGGTGAGATGACGAAAGAAACAAGAGACGACGAAATATACCGAGATGTGTCTACGTGCCCACCGAAAGACCCCACGGAGATAGCGAGAAGTGTAAAATTACCCATAGCGACGGTTAACAAAAGTTCTCTTTACTCATTACGAACTAAAAGTGATAAAAACGGTGCTAGTGACGAAATAGATAAGTGCGAACTCACGTCCAGTGGTACGGTTATCGCTAAGGACAGTAAAATGCAAAGGACATTTAGAGAATCAAAAGTCGCCGACTCCGCATTCGACAATCTGTCGCCCAACGTGAAGCGGATGATATCGAGTGCTACGGAAACGACAACGTTGAAAATCCAAAAGAAAAGCATAACCATCGGTAGATCAACGGCAAGGCATAAATCGAATATTCCTCTAGTTGGCGCCACATCCAAAATATCCCAATCCGGTGTTGAAATATTACAGTCTGTTGAGATTTACGATCAACCTTGCATGAAAAATTTAAGTAAACATAGAACCGAAGAGCATTCTCCATCGAAAACGGTTCAAGTCAAACCGGACTTTAAGATAGACGACACACAAACCACTTATGATGTCCCTTCTAATAATAGACCGGCTATATACGACGTACCCGCTGCACTTAATAAGACAGCGTTCGAATCCCTCTCCTTACCTTATATCGATCAATCCATCGAACTCTCTATAACTTCTAACGATAGAGAATTCGATATTAAATTGTCGTCTAAAGAAACCTCGCCTCTTAAACCTGAAGCTAAGTCTCCTTCTCCGGATGGAACTCCAGCAAAAATATCGAAAAAGATGAACGGCACGAACAGCTTGCACAGGAAAGATTTCAAAAACGAGAGTCCATCAAAACAGCTGTTAAAGACTGGACCTTATCCACATGCGATAGGGTCTACAGGTAATTTGAAAACTTTAGCGATACCGGAAAAAGAGATGATAAGGTTGAACCCACCGGCGGTGGAAGTGTCGCGACCGCTGTCAATGAGTTCCATTGCTTCTTCGTCGTCTACGTCGAGTAGCGGTGTTCAAAATAAAGGGGGAGTGAATTCTGCATACTTGGCTTCCATCGAGAGTTTGGATGACCACAGCGACGCGGACATGACGTCAGCTAATGGCAGTAACAATTTCGTTAATAACGCTGGCATTGTAAACAAAAGCGAATCAGTGGAAAGACACTCCGAGGATACAGCACGTAAGTTTTTCCTTGTTTTATTCTTTTTTAAAATAATGTATTTGAACTGTGGAATTTTTTCCATATGAGCGGGAGCATTTATAAATTAGGAAGATTCATATTTGTCTTCTGCTTGATTAATTAATTTATCAGTTTTTAGTTATTTCTTTTGACCACATTTTATAATTACTATTTAATAATGTATGTCTATTTGTACAATGGGAATATAATTTCTCAATTTATCCAACTTAAAAGTGAAACATATTGGCACTATTTTTAGAAATGGTATTAAATGGTTGCCGTTTTTATTTCTTGTGCCTATTAAGATAATTCAAGTCTTTGCAGGATAGTCTCTCTCGAAATTCATTACATTTTGCGATTTCGGCATCACGTTATGATACAGAACACGATTTAGGTTTTCAAAATACGATTTATACTGTCAAAACACGATTGGAGTGTCAAAATATGTGCAAAATGTGCAAATTTGTATAGTAAAAATGTCGGCATTAAATCCGTCATTTTCGTATAGTACTAATCTCGGCATATCCGTATTTCTGATGATCATTCCAAACTCTCATTTCGAGTAGTAAAACACTTACATGCGGCAATGATCTTTCTGTATGTGAGTAACAGTTCAGAGAGGGCGCCACTGTCTGTGTAAATGACCGCAAATGACAAAAAAATGTGACTTTTACAAATACGGTGGCGTTAGTTCCAATTTTCGCTACATTCATAAACATCCCTATCGCATAATTTTTATTTTTTAAAACATGTAACTGCTTAATGTTTAAATCTAAAGAAAATATAACTAGAAAAAATTCCACGCGGACCAGGCAGCAGATGGGACTCGAACCCGCACCCTTCGCAATCCGGGCGAATGCACTGACCAATTATACTACCGCGGCCCTCACGGACCGCGTCGAAATTCCTCTAGCCATTCTTAAACTGCACGGCAGCGCCATCTCTTCGCATTATAGGCTGCCTTGCAGCTTAAGAATGGCTAGAGGAATTTCGACGCTGTCCGTGAGGGCCGCGGTAGCATAGCTGCCTAATCCGCGTGGATTTTTTTCTAGTTATATTTTCCCTATCGCACTTTAAAAAGAATTTCCATCTAATCCTTCGCAGATACGCAAGTCATAGACGAGATGTCGGGCCTGTCGCAATTGGAGAGGGTTTGTTCTGAGATAGTTCAGACAGAGAACGTATACGTGGAGGATCTGCGGCAGGTGGTCGAGGTAAGTCTTGCTCAGAAATATATTTTTTATAGTAATTTATAATAACTGTTGCAAGCGCCATGATCACGAAGTAAGTTACTCCGTGATCATGGCGCTTGCTACTTACAACAGTGCCAAAATATCCGAAGCTCGCTAAAAACAAGGTACATGGTGGCAATCCCATAAATAACATAAATTGCTATAATGTGAAAGTGAACCATGAAAGATTAAAACAATATAACATGATTTTTACCATAAAAAGTCAATCAGGCGTTTAACACAAGTTTAAGGAGAAAACGCCATACCAATTTTATATAAACATGGTATTTTTATTGAGTTTTCCTTTCGTGTTGTGGACCAAACAGCCGCACATACAAAATTAACTGTCACTCTGTTTGGGGTAATATGATGCTTCTCCCACACCTGAACGACGAAGCTTTGGATGGCTTTGGTGCTAAATGCGCTAAAGTTAGCGTTCAGAATTCGAATTAGTTCTGTCGTGCTGCTGTGTATAGACGATAGCTTCACTACATAATTTGACACTCATAAAAGAGGTTGTGTGTTTTGAGGAGCGTACTGAATTCAAAATTCGAAAATGGTTGTATCAACTAAATTTAGTTTTTCACCATTTAGATTTATATCTCCTACTAGTGGCCCGCCCCCGCTTCGCTTCGGAGTAGAATTGATCAAAATCCTTTCTTAGCGGATGCCTTCGTCATAACATCTACCTGCATGCCAAATTTCAGCGCGATCCGTCCAGTGGTTTGGGCTGTGCGTTGATAGATCACTATGTCAGTCAGTCACCTTTGAGTTTTATATATATAGATATAGATTTTAGTTTACTTTATACTCAATAAAGAAAAATGTTAGACCTTATTTACCACATGAAATGCAATAAAATTTCTGATTTCTGAAATCAAACCTCTTTCTATTTCTAGGGCTTATACAGTTGCAAATACATTTCAATCGCTTTTTATCTTGGATTTAATAAATATGCTGCTATGCAATATTTATTTTATTATTCTTTTCGGTTCCATTTAAGCCCCGTGACTGATTAGATTGTCGATAGTTCTAAAACCATACAGTTCTAATTAGCCATAGAGAAACAGTTTCCCAGCCGCTTTCGTTTTGATCTCGATTTCCTACGGCTTTGAAATTTCACACGCACGCGTTTAGTTTCGCGTCTCCGGAGGAGCGGTCGCGTTTTATTCACACCCTGGCGTTATGCAACCGACATTTTGTTTCCGCGTAACACTAGTTACAAAGAAAAGTTTAATCTAGGTTGAAATGTGTCCGCTCCGGTGTGAAGTTTCAGTTTTAAAATTTCATATAAATAGATTTCGCTGCAGTGTTTCTTTTTTTTTATCTACTCTCATAGGTCCCACAAATACTCACTGTAAAAACAAATAGGAATATAAATAAAAACTGTAGTTCACATTTTATCAAAAGTGTTCGCAAATTCGTCTGCTTAGATTACTGGATTTTCTATCATATACACCTAGACTTTCAGCCACCCTTATAGCTCCTTAAGTTTATATTCTCGCGACAAATTTGCATTGTTTTCTTCGAGGTCCCCATACTTAATTACATCAATATCTGTTTAGCCATTAAATGAAACAGAAAGAAGGAAGTAAGCAATCCCCTTGCCTTTGATTCCCAAAGTTTGCAGATGCGTCTCTAGCCCTTGTAGCTCTCGAGTGCAATAATGAACTTAGTGCTCTACTAAGCGGTCATAATGTTATGGTGACGATTGGCGAATGACGCTCGGTACGCCCTGAGAACACTGCGGCCGTGTTTTTTTTCTTGAGTGTGTATGCTGTTGGTCGCACATGCCCTTTACAGCGTCACCGGGTTTGGGGACGGCGAGATCCTAAGGGGACCTTAAGCCGAGAATTCGCGAGTGTCTCTAGAGGTATTCCAGGTGGATGGCATCTCCCCACGGGGGGAGTCTCCTCTCCGTCCGGGGCCTCTAGATCACTCGAACCTGAGGGGGTCGGCTCAACTAGAGGGCTTCTCTCTGAGACTCGAACCTCGGCTCTAGTTAGGCATTGTCGTGGGGGTCACTCCCGTGTGCTGCCCGCACCCTCTATAAAAGCCTCCTCTGTAAGTACATTGCTCGTTCCCCATACATTGAATGCCCCAGAACGCACAGCAATGAGAAAATGCTAGTTGTGTAAAAATGAAACAAAGACAATAACTACAATGTAATAAATCTAACACTACGTTGAAAAGACTTAAGAGACTTATTTCCTTCCCTTTTATTAAGACAGTTGGCGTGATCGAACGTGTGATAAATTGTACAGTGTAAAACTGTAAATAGCGCTCTGATTTCAAGACAGACTAGATATCGCACGCTTGAAATTATGTGGTCTAATTGTCCCTTCATACACAAACGGCACATCCCTTTTAAGAAGCTTTTGAATTTAGATGAGACAGTCTGTGTAGTAGTTACAGAAATTTTAATTTTTAATGTTTTACCACAGAATGTCCGTTTACTATAATTAATTGCTAATAAGGTATAAAAAAATGTGAATAACAGTCGTTTGTGCATGCTGGGGCAGATTTCGTCAATGTCCTTTGTATGAGAAACAGGTATCTCCGTGCAGATAAAGTCATGATCACAGATAGTGATTTCCTATTAAAGAGGCTCTACAAACATTGACAGTACCGGCGCGTGCCATTCGCGTCGCGTTCGGTCAATTTGTACTTACCCTAAGATCAAATATTCACGACCCTTTGCGTAGCAACCCTCCACTTTGCATAATACCACCTAGCCCACTGACCTGTGAATATTAAATACTTGACCTGGATTACTGTTGTCTTTACTCTGTGATGTGACATCAAGTTAGTAAGCGAAATTTAATTGTTTGAGATTTTTTTAAATATGAATGACTTATTGGAAAAGTTTGCAAGTGGCACATTCTGTGTTTTATTTTCAGCTCTCTAGATTCTTTGAACTAACTGTCCCTTTAAATTAAAATTATCATTTGATGCGATCTAGGTTTATTATTCTTACTTGAATCAAACCCTAGGTAGTATAAAGATCACACTAATATTATACAGGCGAAAGTTTGTGAGTGTTTGTTACTTCTTCACGTGTAAACGGCTGAAGCGATTTTAATAAAATTTGGTATGTAGTTAGCTGCGACCCTGGATTAACGCATAGGCTACGTTTTACTGTGGGAAAATATCCCGAATTAACCGCGGGTATAAAGAATACCTATCTAGCTAGGATAGCTTCATAGCGTGCGACCCGGCGCAGCGGGGCGACTTAGATGCATTCTGTTTGCACGCGACTTCGTTCGTTATGTCATTTGTTTTTATGATCGATTGCTGTGAGAAATTACTCATTGACAACAGCTCGTCACTTGTTCTTTTGTTATATCTTTGTTGTTTCTTTGTTTATTCCCAAAGTTTACCACCAATATTTACTAATAAAACTTTTTGAACGCATATAAAAGGCGTGTGATAGTGTTGGCTGTTTTATTATATATGTAGTTAAGTATACCCTCTTCGGACTTTTCGGTCATACGCTCCTAATCCGAAGGGATATTTAAGTCATTTTTAAAGAGCAGATTAATGCTATTTCTACATATTTTTTTTAATCTTTTGTCATATGTATAAGGCTGTCGCATTAATTACTTATATTTGTATGTGTATGTAATACACTATTATAAGTGTAATGTTGTCTTAAACAATGACCTTTTTTAATTATAAAAAAAATTACGTATTTTAACACATTGGCGCTACCTTATATTTTCACGTTTAACGTACGTAAGAAATGGCGCGGTCGACAGGAAAGGGACAACTGTCAAACGTGCCAGCCACTCTGTCAATGTGTCACGCTGTCACCACTAATTAGCGGCCACGGTATAATGTATTTATAAACTGTCACTGACTAAATAAAACCGCGAACTCCCAACGGGGAAGGAAAGTGTTGAAATCGTTTGCGACGCCGGTAAACGTGACTTAACTTCGAATATTTTGAAATGGATAATTTTGAGAAATATTGACTGGCAATTTATAGGAACTAGGTACATATTTTAGTGAGAATTCATTGGTAGAGTCTGTGCGGAAAGAGAATGGGATTTCGATTGGAGGGTGCTGTAGTGCTTTTCTACCGTATTTGTAAGGTTTTACCCCTTTTAGACATGATTAAAATCAAATAACCGCAAGAAATCACAACAACAAACAAATCCGTATCAATACAAAACTTTGACGTTTTACAGATTGCTGGTTTTGATTGCCAAATAAAAATCTTAATGTTAGTTCCGTTTTTCGCCACGCCCATTCTCTTTCCGCACAGACTTTACTCCATTTATGTAAAAAAAGTCCATTAGCTAGCAATTTCAAACGGGAAGCGGGGTAGGTATATGCTTCAGGCCGGCAAGGTGAGGATGGCTGAAGCGGCACATTTTCTGCCCCAACATCTATTGTCGTGATTGGGTCGGACGAAGTCGCGGGCTACCGCTAGAATATATAAATATATCCATGAAACAATGAGGAGCTGCCGTTTTTAACTTGATGTTAAGTAAGTTAAGTTTAAGATGTTAAGCTTTTCTTTCGAGATAAGTTATTTTAAACTTTCATGGTACCTTGTTTTTTATGAGTCTCCGATATTTCGGCACTGTTGCAAAAGCGCCATGATCACGGAGTAGCTTTTCTTCAAACGAAATGTTTGTAATATTATAATGGGAACGCTATAAATATTCGAGGTATAGCCGCAGGGTATTTAAATATAAAAAGAAGAGAACTGTAGTATATCAGATTTCCTGAATAATTAACGAAATCATACATCTGATCAGTTTACCAACATCTGCGCTAATGTTGTGTTTTCTTAATGTGCACAGCAGGCGACCACATCTCACAAACAGTCATTAAAATCGAGTGTTGTCATATGAGAAAAATCTTTTTCACATATGTACCTACTTTCATATTTGTAAGCTTAAAGGATTATTTTTAACACAATTTTTCACTACAGGTATTGAAAACATCTCCCATCTCCAATAACAGTAAAAACA